CCGGTCACAGATGCTGGTGAAACGTTAGGAAACAAAACTTCCAGAACACGGCCACACAGCCCGGAAGACCCATACCAGCCTACATACTGAGATTCTTATTCAGGTATCATGGTTCTGAACCATTAAGGGAAGTAGTCATTACTAGATTCTTGAAATATGATTGGTAATGCATAGGCAGGCAGTGCAGTTCTTTTAGGACAGATGTTATATCTGAAAGGTGTTCTGGATAATAACTTGACTGCTGGCTTGTACGCCAACTGCGATTTCTGAGTCATCTTCAAGGGCATATTGCATTAACCCAGTGGGAAGTATCAGAGCATAAGCGAAGCCATCACTGTCCAGGAAGGATCACAGCTGCATGACCAGACACACCTGGCCAAATGAACTCCAGACCACTGATGTCATTTGGGTCTTGAGTGATACAGAAGAATCCAAGCATATATCTGTCCACCTGCTTCTTCAGATGGGGAGTAGCCTGATACAGAGTCAGAGAGCTAATGAATTCTGAGACCTGTAAGTGGCCCCAGACAATCAGCTCAGTTGATGGTATAAAAGTGGCTAAGACATACAGAAAGATCAACATGGATGAACTCCCTATGTCTTTTCCTGAGAGTAGGACATTTGAATGACAAAACCAGACCTGAAACCCAACTGGAATGGGCCCAGATAATCCACATTCTCCAAAAATGTATAAAGCTGACCAGTCATAACCTGGTGAAGTATTGTGCCCAGAAAGAGATTATTTTCATCATGATAGGAGTTCTTAACTGCCTCCAAGTCCATCCTGTTTAGGAAGCATGGCATCACCATATCTTTCATCAAAACTATCTTCTGATGTAATTAGTTGTTTATCACTCCATGGACACATTCTATCAGTCCCTCTCTGTTAGATCTTAATAGCCAAGATGGCCATGGATGGAAACTACTTCTGATAGGCTGAACAGATGCAAACTTTTCGACCACATCTTCAAGCCTGAGAAACTGAAACTGATCCTCAAAACATGACCAGCCATTTCCCCATATCTCCCATATTACTGCAAGGAGATAGCAAATTCTGCATTGACTCAAGGTTCTTATATCACCTGCACCACAGCAACCTTAGAGTCCATGCATCACATTTTCTTTTCTCTATTAGAAAACAAGAAAAAACTATTTTGTCAAGTTTTAAGCTGATTTATG